TCTCAGGCACTTGTAACTTTCAACGCGCTTGTGATGCTACTTTCTTACCTTTCCCAAGTGACTTCCAACACGCTCTTGATGCTACGGTCTTATCTTTCAAGTAACTTTCAACACGCTCTTGACAGCTACGCTCCTTTCCTTCTGAAGTAACTTCCAACGTTGGGAGTTGGGACATGCTTGTTTGCACAGGAAAGTCGTCAGCAAAGAAGAATAACCACGCATGTCAAATTTCACAGTCATTCTTTCATCATGGAAAACATAGTTAGTTCGTAAAGGCCTCAAAACTTGAAAAAAAAATGAATGTACTGTAAATACAATTCTACTCATGACAATCAAAAAACCGCGCGGGCTTCTACCAGCCCCGATCTAAAATGGTGATTTCCCATGGCTACGTTAAATTACCAGAGGGACCGTTAAGAAACCCGAAATGACACCATTCTCCAAGGCACTTTCGTTGAAGGACACCGTGACCACCCGCCAGCCGCAGCTCCGGAGCAGCCGGCGCTTGAAGGCCGCGGCGCCACTGAGGCCGCACTCCACGTACCTCGCGTCCAGCATGGTGAATCTATGGTTTCATAATGGGTCATCTATGGTTAATAATGGTTAACCTATAGGTAATGATGGAGAATCTACGGTTAATCTATGTTTAATCTATGATATATAATGAATCATCTACCGTTCATAGTGGTCATTAATGATAAGTAATGGTGGTTAATGGGGATATAAATTGATATGTTCAACTAAATATGCGGGATAAGTTGTAAAAACAAAAACTGTATAAGCTATTATGCCATTATAATGAGTAATGGCAATTATAATGAAAACAATTACATATAATCATGTAATGGCTAAACCAAAAAAACATCAATCGTATTTCAAGTGGCTTGGGGGAACTGTTCATTCCATGGTTTCATGATAATGCTTAATGGCCACCCTCTGATGATTTAACATAGCTATGGAAAGCTCTAGGCAAACATGATTTTGAATATATATAAATCATCCAAGTACATGGGGCATGTTCTGTAGCAATGTTGAAGTACTGGAAGGTAAACATGGTCAAGGCTACGGAGGTACATGAAGGTACCAATTTGTGAAATTAGCCATACTATAATCAAAGTCTACTACAAGTATTCCATCATGGGTACTTTGTAGAGGAATCAACTGATAATACTGATTATATACGATAGGTTTGGATGGCTTAATAATACTATGTATAATGCCGTATCTACCTGCCAAAATTCCATTTCCACCGTCGAAAACTGTCAACCCCGGAATTAATAACCCCAATTAAACAAATCCGGGGTTAAAGATATTATCAGAGGGACAGTTGCCAAGGCACTCGCGGGCTTGCACGAGAACATCGCTGCGTTCACCGGCGATCACGGTCTTCCGAATCTCCGCGGGCTTCTTTCCATCTCCTTCCAGCAGAGCTTGGTCTTCTTCTCGCAGCTTTTCCTCAGCGAAATCTGAGATGCTGCAGCGAAGATCGCTCGCTTATGACTGGTGCACATGGAACTGACTTATCCCAAAGAGCATGGCCTGTGGTATCACCCCCAACACGGATAAGTCAATTGGGTCTTATAATTGCTAGAATGACCCCAAATGTGCATGGAAAGCACATATAGGACACAAATTCATCACGCATTCATCAAATCATCATAATTGATGGTATTCAATTTGTTTGGTCAAAATAGTGACCCTTCAATCTCATACATATCAACCGTTCAACCATGGTCAACCATGGTCAACCCCAGCTGCCGTCAACAGCTCCATGGGGATGGTGCTGCGTTGGGGGCCCTCAACCTCGATCACCAGCCTGGATCGCAGCTGCCTTTCTGCCAGAAAATGCTATGACACACATATCGTACATACACACATGTGTGTGTGAAAACATGATGTGATATGATACGAGTATGATATATATATATATATATTATGTGTGGTGTAAATATATATATATATATACATGAATTATATGAATAGGTATATGTATATGCATAAGGTTGCTGAAGGGTAATTCGTCAGATCGCGTCACAACTGAAGTCTTCTGGTACATCGTCTATATACAACGAGACAAAAAAGACTGTGAACATGTGAGCGCTTTCGCCAGCTATTTGTCCCAACTTCTTGAGTTCATGACGACAACATTTCCAGCTTGTGACATGATGTCATCTCATGGTGAACATGTTGCATTGTGCTGCAATGCTGCTATGCGGGTGACATTTCTACTCATGACCTTTCTGCTGACCTGCTAGGGTCAACTTTGGACAACTTTAGTCCAACCCTGGGATGCCCTGGGCCTTAATTTGGGAATGACAATGTCTGCTCGAACTCCTGCTTCTCCAACAGTGTCTAGCGCAGGTGCCATGGCATTGGCCTGCGGAGGGAGAGCAGGAATCTCTTCAAATTGTCTAACCACCATGCTTCAAGAATTCAACATGTGTTGCACGCCTGCCACACATAGCTTGGATTTCACGAGGCACATTTACTGAAGAGGTGGCCCCCGAAAAGAAGGCATTAAGAGGTTAAGACTTTCAATGAATCAGAAAATCGCTGTAATTTCGTCCTCCTGAAGGAAACACGCAACGGGTGCCACGCAACGTCAACAACCGTCCCTCAGTTTTGGCTAGGCCCAGGCTCAAGGTCCAACTCAAAAGAATCAATGAATCAAGCATCAACACTCAAGAAACAAAGAGAAGGCTTCCGCAAAAGATTCCGCATGTTTCCCCAAAAGAAACCCCCAAATAAAACACACACTTCCTATTTATATGTATAACGCATCTTTGTGTGTATTTGCTACATGTTGCCACCATATTTGAATGATTTTCCCCCACTTTCCGTTGTCGCGGGATCCCCTATCGCCACATACAGCGCCTCGTGAGGGATCCTCTGAATCCGAAGCCGGTCGCTCAAGCGGCGATGCTGCTCCCCCATGTACCGTGAGGTCGTATCCTGCGACACCGTGGATCTCATAACTGGGCCCATGAAACCATGGGCACCGTGGTTTCCAAAGTGAGATCTGCCAACTAAAACCGCGGATTCGGAAACTAAGATTCGGAAACTAAGCTTCGGAAACTAACAGACACGGATTCGGAAACTCAGATTGGGAAACTAAAAAACAGAGGATTCGGGAACTGAGGAGGACGGGGATTCGGGAACTGTGATTCGGAAACTAAAAAGTAGGATTCGGAAACTAAGACCGCAGATTAGGAAACTGAAGCAAGAGAGCTGATTGGAAACTATAGGATTCAGAAACAAAGACACGCGGATTCGGAAACTAAGATTCGGAAACTGAGAAAGGTGGATTCGGAAACTACGATTCGGAAACAAAGACACGCGGATTCGGAAACTAAGATTCAGAAACAATTGGATTCGGAAACTAAGAATCGGAAACAAGATAGTTTCTGCATCGATGGAAATAAAAATTTTTCCCCGTGTGGACACTTCATGTCAATTTGAAGTTTCATGGGGGTGGGAATTTTGATAATTAGGCAAATTTGAAGGTCCACGCGGGCAGGACTTTTGATATCCGATTGCCTTTGTGAACAGTCCAGGTCAATTTGGTCAATTTGGAGTTCCATGGGGTGGGAATGTTGATATTATCTTAAATCCTTGTGGACAGTCCAAATCAATTTGAAGTTCCATGGGGGTGCGAATTTTGATATCATCTTATCCTCGTGGACAGTCCAAGTCAATTTGAAGTTCATGGGGGGGTGGGAGTTTTGATATCATATTTCCCTTGTGAACGGTCCAAGTCAATTTGAAATTCCATGGTGGTGGGAATGTTGATATCATCTTACCCTTGTGGCCAGTCCAAGTCAATTTGAAGTTCCATGGGGGTGCGAATTTTGACATCATCTTATCCTCGTGAACCGTCCAAGTCAACTTGAAGTCCCATGGGGGTGGGAATTTTGATATCATCTTATCCTTGTGGACAGTCCAAGTCAATTGAAGTTCCATGGGGTGGGAATTTTGATATCACCCCATCCTCGTGGACAGTCCAAGTCAATTTGAGTACCATGGGGGGTGGGGATTTTGATATCATCTTTTCCTTGTGGACAGCCCAAGTCAATTTGAAGTTCCATGGGGGTGGGAATTTTGATATCATCTTATCCTCGTGGACAGTCCAAGTCAATTTGAGTTCCATGGGGGTGGAAAAATTTTGATATCAACTTATCCTCGTGAACAGTCCAAGTCGATTTGAAGTTCCATGGGGGTGGGAATTTTTGATATCATCTTATCCTTGTGGACAGTCCAAGTCAATTCGAAGTTCGATGGGGGTGGGAATTTTGATACCATATTACCCTTGTGAACCGTGCAAGTCAATTTGAAGTTTTATGGGGGTGGGAATTTTGATAACGTCTTTCCTGTAAGGACATTCAATGTCAATTTGAACTTCCATGTGGGTAGGAAATTTGATATCATCTTTGCCTTGTGGACAACCCAAGTCAATTTGAAGTTCCATGAGGGTGGGAATTTTGATATCATCTTATCCTTGTGGACAGCCCAAGCCAATTTGAGTTCCATGAGGTGGGAATTTTGATATCATCTTATCCTTGTGAACCGTCCAAGTCAATTTGAAGTTCCATGGGGGTGCGAATTTTGACATCATCTTATCCTTGTGGACAACCCAAGTCAATTTGAAGTTCCATGGGGGTGGGAATTCTGATATCATCTTATCCTTGTGGACAGCCCAATTCAATTTGAGTTCCATGGGGGTGGGAATTTTGATATCATCTTATCCTTGTGGACAGTCCAAGTCAATTTGAAGTTCCATGGGGGTGGGAATTTTGATATCATCTTATCCTCGTGGACAGTCCAAGTCAATTTGAGTTCCATGGGGGTGGAAATTTTGATATCAACTTATCCTCGTGAACAGTCCAAGTCGATTTGAAGTTCCATGGGGGTGGGAATTTTTGATATCATCTGATCCTTGTGGACAGTCCAAGTCAATTTGAAGTTCGATGGGGGTGGGAATTTTGATGTCATCTTATCCTCGTGGACAGACCAAGTCAATTTCAAGCTCCAAGGGGTGGGGATTTTGATTCGATATCATTTTGAACTCCTGAAGCGCGAGGTTCTGAGGCGCGTTAGTTTTGTATATCGGAGGAAATAGTGTCTGAATCCTGTTTTTTAAATCGTGGTTTCTGAAGCTCGATAGTTTCTGAATCGTGATAGTTTCTGAACCGTGATAGTTTCTGAATCGCGATAGTTGCTGAATCGCGATAGTTTCTGAATCGTAGTTTCTGAATCCTGATAGTTTCTGAGTTTCTAAATAACAGCTACCGAATCGTGATAGTTTCTGAACTGTGATAGTTTCTGAACTGCGATAGTTTCTGAATCGCCATAGTTTCTGAATCGTGATAGTTTCTGAATCACTATAGTTTCTGAATCGTAGTTTCTGAATCGCAGATACTTTCTGAATCGGTGTCGGTTATCGGCCGGATGCATGCAATTATATGCTTATATGTGCATAAATATCATATATATATATTATAATCATAGTCATAATAATAATAATAGCACTAGTCATTTTAATATATCTAATTAAATGATATTGGCCTATATTATATGTTAGCGTATTATTTTATGTGTTATTTTATTTTATTTCATTATACATTATCATTTTATAAAATTGTTTGTTATATTAAATTCTATTTCATTTTATTATATTATGTTCTCTTCTATTATAGTAGGTTTTACTATATTATATTTTATTAAGTTAAATATTATATATATATGTAAATATAATTGTATCTTATATGGATACTGTAAATGTTCAGCAAATCCATACAACTCTCAAACCAGCTGAATGGTTATTGTTGAAAGGTTATTTGTAACACATGTTAACCTATGTATTTATGTTGTGGTGTCCCGAGGGGCCACTGCAAGTTGTGGCATGACTATTGCTATGGCACTATGGAAATCCATTTTCCAATTTTACAACGCCATCCTCAGTTGGAGTTGGATTGGCGGTTTCCCATAATTTTAACAAGAACACAGGGAGATTCCAACCATCATCGCTATTTCGTTCACAATGTTTGAATCTCAGGATGGCGTTGGTCCAATAATCATGCCTAATGTACCTAAACCATGGCTTTGCCCTCCAAAGGCATCCAAGTCCAAAACTGTGATATTCATGGATGAAATTAAATACCCACAACTTGTCAGCTGGCCTCCTCAAGTCATAAGTAAAATCCAATTGGGTTTGTCTGAACATAGTATGCCCCAAAATCCAAAGGTGTATCATTACTTTCCACATGACAATGGCTTTGTCATATTGGTATACCCACATTGTCAGACACACAACACCCATATACAAGATTGTTGGCCGTATATCCCTAGAATTACATGCTCATGATTCTTGGTTATTGCCCAAATTTTTTGGTTGAATTATGACAATTCCCAACTGGAAAGCAGGTGAAACGTCATACCGCCAGTTGGGGGGCATTCCCCTTATCCAATTCCCATCATTCCAGAGCTTGGAAGCGCATTTGAAGTTATATATAAGTTACAAGTGGGTTAGGGCTCAAATATAGGCCCCATATCCCAACTTATGGGGGTTAGAAATCACCATGGTTCTACCCATAAAAGTAACACCAACTGCGCCAAGTGATGTCCACCTGCCCGACGTTACCGGATTTCCGGACGCGCCTCATAACAGCTACGGCAGACCGTGTGTCCCACCAACTCCTCTACGGGCAAACCCAGCTCCGCCTCAGGAGAGGTATACAGTCACACTATATCTTGTTTAGTGTACTATGTTATATCTTGTTTTATCATGTTCAACTCTATATCATATTAGGTTATGTAGTTTATCACCCAAGGACGTTTAGAAGTCAAACTTCCGATAACATGGACAGATGGAGAAGCAGAGGTGAGAAGAGTCAGAGAAGAGCAAGAGGAAGAAGAAAGAAGATGCAGGTGCGCAAAAAGATAGAAAAGTCCTGAAACACTGTGTTTTCCTATGTTTTGTGAATTTTGTGGCTCCGGATGGTCCAAAAGTAGGCTCGCTAAAGCGGCGGGTGCGGAGCCAGCTGGGCAGATGAAAAATTGCACGCCGTTGTGGCGCGAAGCAGATTTGGAACTCAAAAAGCTAAAAACACCTCATGTCCAGAGCACTTTTGGCAGTTGAGATGTGGAAAAAATGCAGCACATGTCGAAGTCAAAATGGCACAAAGACCACATGTTCGGACCACTTTTGGAAGTTGAGATGTTCAAAAAGTGCACGCCGTTGTGGCGTGAAGCACATTTTTAGTCAAAATGAGAAAGCACACCACGTTCGGACCACTTTTGGACGTTCCAATGGCACCACACAACACAACAACAAACAAAAACGAAAAATACAACAACAACAACCAACAACCAACAACCAACAACCAACAACCAACAACCAACAACCAACAACCAACAACCAACAACCGACAACCGACAACCGACAACCAACAACCAACAACCAACAACCAACAACCAACAACCAACAACCAACAACCAACAACCAACAACCAACAACCAACCCACTCAAAAAAGCACAACTCCAACCACCTTTCGGTCCATCAGTGGATTCGCTCTGCCTTCCATGCATCACAGCAACTCACCTCTCCCATTGTTTTCTATCTTTGAAACTTCCGCCACCGCCTTGTGCGGTGCTACTGGTATCATATTCTGTTAAATCAGATCTTAGTACAAGATGCTGTGTTATATAATAATATGCATAATTATGCATATATGTCGTCTTACATGCAATAAATGTGCATGTGCGTCTGCGATGCGAAAGAAGACGATAATTGAAACCGGGTTGCTGTATAGACACAATGTAACATGAAAAATGTTCTCTGTATACATGCCTATTGTAGTTTTTTCACTTTTAATCATGCAGGACACTTTGGTGCTCTTCAGTGTATTTGTCAAGGTGACACCAATCGAAAACTTGGCCTAGCTTGGCCTAGCTTGGCCCACAAACATTGAAAGATTTTGGGGGGTCGACCAGTCGACAAAAAACAAAAACCCCAGGCCTGCCAGCATGCCAGCATCGAGTAGATCTGCGCATAACTTGCCACGGTGAAATCTCGCCTCCAGAAACCCTCCATCATCATGACATTCCTCGGCAATCCATTCTGGGAAAAGTTGTAAAAAAAACACTATTGGAAACGGTTTAAAAAATCCCGTATCACTAGCAAGAACCAGTTGGAACGAAGGCCTTTTTCATCTTTTTTTCCCTTTTGAAGCTTCTTGTCAAAGACATTCCACCACATTCCTCACAGAGGCTTCAGCTTTGTCTCAGCAATCCCTTGTGTCCCAGTAGCATCGCTGGCAGGGCAGCAGCTTTCCCGCCCAGAATGGCGGCAGCATAGAAGCAAATGGCCAAAGAGGTGTTTGAAAACTCTCCTCGCCTACGTGCTGGGTGACCCTCACTGAGGACAAAACGTGGAGCCCTAGTTTCTGCATCGCCGAAAAGTGCCCATCTCAGATGGGAAAGTCCATCCCAAGTAGTATAACTCAATGGGGGAGTGACTAACCCGAGGCAAGTCGGCTCAAATTATGTCTGTACCGAGATTCCATTTGTGACTCCTTCCATCTCCAGAAAAAAGTCGAAAACGGCACAAGCAAAACATCTCCGGTTCGGTTGTTACCAAAATCATCCAAAATCCCTGCAGGATGGGGCAGCCCAGTTATGTTTGTTGGTTTATAAACCCCAAGAATACATCCATTAACTCTAGTTACAGTATATCATGTTACCCTCTGGTAAACGTTTACATAGCTATGGAAAATCACCATGTTTAATGGCTAAATCCACTATTTCTATGGCCATTTTCAATAGCTATTTTGACATAACCAGGCCGGGTATATCACATTAAAACCATCCCAAATCATCCCAAATCCCTGGGAAAATCCCTGGCCTGGCGATTTCCTCCAGGCAGGTAGATGCCACCACCTCCCCGTGGTTCCGGCAGTTCAGAAAGGCCAAACCCCACAGCAGCATAGAGATAGACCTCACAGCATGGATACCCAAAGAAAGAAGCTTCGAACAACGTCAAAATACCTCAAAAAACCTCAAAAAACCAGAGATCACCTCCAAACAATTCAAGAAATGGTGATGTTTGAATATTTATGAATATGTTTGACACGATTCAACTTTAGCAAGGGACTGATCGGAATACTCCCGGACGTGCTCGCAGAAGTGAACAGCGATACGGTCCATCAATTTCTCATATCTCACCTTGGCGTCGAGGTACTGAACCATACTGGATGCCAGGTTCCAAGCATTGAAACGTAAAGTCGGAACAGTTGTCTGGCTGGTCATTGGGACCCCTTAAATGTGTGTCGATCGTTTTTGGCTTGCTACAACCAAAACAGCTGCATCAATGATTCCTTTTTGTCAGCATGTTCAACGTGTTGGTTTGGTCTTGAAAGATTTCCATTCTGCGGATTGCGATCAATTCAAACAAAAACCCGAAAACTGTCCTATCATGGTTGAGCTCAAGGTGACATAGGACACGGTCATCCCAGTTTCTCTCGGTGTTCCGTAAAGATTTTGGCACCCTTCACAGTCGACAAACATGGCAATGGCAACTCCCCTTGTTAGACAGGAGTTACAAGTAGCACCGGGGCAAGCTGGGGGCAAAATTTTCAGAGGAAGAAAGACTGTGCCGATAAGATATGTGCAAGACCACCTGTGCATTGAAAATGCTTTCTCTTGACACCTCTGTCGCGTGACACTACTCTGCTCTGCACTCCACTCTTCTCTTCTCTCTTCTCTACTCTATTCTTCTCTTCTCTACTCTTCTCTCCTCTAGTCTTGTCTGCTCTACTCTGCTCTACTTTTCTCTACTCTACTTTGCTCTTCTCTAATCGACTCTTGCTTTCTTTACTGACTCTGTCCTGCTCTTCATAAGGAGTAAATCTTCGTAACACATGGAAGTTTCTCCCCGAACCTTTCTTTGAACGTCTATCACCTGTTTGTCCAATTGCCAACTTAAGTTTGCAGAGGTACAAGACAAACAACCTAATTAATCAATCCCAATCATGGGTATCCCATGTCGTCCACTCTTCAATGATTTATCACACCATCTGATGATTTATCCCATGCACTATCTAATGGGGATGTTGAATGTTTAGGTATACCCAATTTCCAGGAAGACCCGTTTCCGTGAATTCTTCATTGGTCAATCCCCAATTTTTGATGGATCAAATTCCTGCAGTTGGGTGTGCAGGACAATGCGGTATACCGGTATACCATATAACCGTATACACCAAAATGATCCAAAATGTAGAATTTGAAACAGGATAATTCAGAATGTTTCATGATGTTTCATGTTCCATCGGAGTTTGGTACCGAATGTTAAGACAACGCCATTCATCACAGGCATTCCCCATCTTTGAAGCCACGGCCGCCCCGCCTGATTCAGGGCCAAGCTGTAACTCAGCACAGACCATGCGGCCGGATCCATCTGATCCCATTCGTCGCGACGGTGGATTTCCTGAAAGGCTAAGTGGTCTCGGGATTTAAAAACAAGGTGGGCCAGAGAACCCAAAAGCAAGACGGCACACAGCACGCCTTTTCTTGAAAATCTTGGGGTGTGGCCAGCTGTGCTCTGCACGAAATCGACGTAAGATCTTTACTTAAACATCGTGCGCACTGATGGTATCAGGGGCCACGATTCACCACAGCATGCTGTGTCAGCTACGCCTACAGTCTTCTAGTCGCTATTTCTGTTAATGTAATTAACTCTATCCCATCTGTCTAGTCGCTATCTATTTCTGCGTTCTCGTTTAGTTTGCTTCGCCGCAGAGGGAGCGAGCACGAAGCGTGGACGGACAGAACGAAATGAAAATTAAACGACAGAGGGAGCTGACCAAAAGAGCATGAAAACGAAGATATATATGAAGGTGACAGATGGCAAATGATCATGAAAAATGAGACATGATAAAAGATGGGTAAAGACTTCTCTGTACAAAAGCTTCTTTGCATAAAAGCTTCTGCAAGTAAAAGCTTCTGTGGGCAAGAACTTCTCTGTGTAAAGGTTTTTGGTGTAAAAGCTCTTGTGTGTAAAATCTTCCGTGTAAAACGCGCTCTGTGTGTAAAAGTTTCTGTTTGCGAAAGTTTCTTTGCGTACCAGCTTCTGTCTGTAAAAGCTCCTCTGTGTTAAGGTTTTGTTTGTGTAAAGCTTCTGTGTGCAAAAGCTTCTCTGTGTAAAAGACTTCTCTGTGTCAAAGCCTCTGAGTGTACAAGCTTCTCTGTGTAAAAGTTCCTCTGTGTAAAAGCTCCTCTGTGAAAAAGCCGCTCTGTGTAAAAGGCTTCTGTGTGTAAAAGCCTCTGTGTGTGCAAGCTTCTCTGTGTCAAGACTTCTTTGTGTAAAGATTTCTCTGTGTAAAAACTACTCTGTGTAAACGCTTCCGTGTAAACTCTTTCCTGTGTAAACGCCTCCGTGTGTAAAGACTTCTCTGTGTAAACCCGTCTGTGTGTAAAAGCTCCTTTGTTTAAAGGTTTTTTTGTGTTAAAAGCTTCTGTGTGTAAAACCTTCTGTGTGTAAAAGTTTCTGTGTGTAAAAGCTTCTGTGTGTAAAGGTTTCTGTGTGTAAAAGCTTCTGTGTATTAAAAAAACCTTATGTAAAAGCTTCTGTGTAAAAAAGCCCCCTGTGTGTACAAGCTTCGCTGCGTAAAAGCTGCTCTGTGTAAAAAATCTGTGCGCCGTAAAGTTGTCTGTTTGTAAAACCTCCTGTGTGTGTGTGAAAGCGTCTGTGTGTACAAGATTCTTTGTCCAAAAGCTCCTCTGTGCAAAGACTTCTCTGTGTACAAAGCTTCTGTGTGTGAAAGTTTGTGTGTGTAAAAGCTTTCCTGTGTAAAAGTTTTCTTGTGCAAAAGCTCCTGTGTGAAAAACTTCTCTGTGTAAAGGCTTTTTTGTGTAAAAGCTTCTGTGTGTACAAGCTGCTCTGTGTTAAAGTTTCTGTGCGCCGAAAGAACGTCTATCTGTAACACCTTCTGCGTGTAAATCTCGTTTGTGTAAGGACTTCTATCGTAAAAGCTCCTCTGTGTCAAGACTTCTTTGTGCGAAAGGCTTCTCTCTGTAAAAGCCTTTGTGTGTACAGGCTTCTCTGTCTCAAGACTTCTCTGTGTAAAGACTTCTGTGTGTAAAAGCTACTCTGTGCAAAAAAGCTTCTGTGCGTAAAGGCTTCTGTGTCAAGACTCCTCTGTGTCTCTGTAAACGCGTCTGTGTGTCAAAGTTTCTGTGTAAAGGCTTTTTTTGTGCAAAAGCTTCTCTGTGCATGTCCCATTTTTCAGCCTTTGCAAACCGTTTGACCGGTCTTGGGACCATTTGACCAGTCTTGGGTCCACAATTTTTTCAGGCCAATCGCAATGATGGCATTTGTCCTGAAAAAACCCGTGCCAACAGCTCTGCCGCAAACTATTTTCAAGGTTTCCTATCCGTCCAGCATGTTGTCTCGCTCCCTCCAGCGAAGCTCTCCGCAAGCTATTTCCACGGTTTTGTCCCGTCCAGCATGCTGTCTCGCTCCCTCCCAGCAAGGCTCTCCGCAAGCTATTTCCACGGTTTCCTCTCCGTCCAGCACGCTGTCTCGCTCCCTTCCAGCAAAGCTCTCCGCTAGCTATTTCCACGGTTTCCTGTCCATCCAGCATGCTGTCTCCCTCCCTCCCAGCGACGCTCTCCGCAACCTATTTGCACGGTTTCCTCTCCGTCCAGCACGCTGTCTCGCTCCCGCCCAGCGAAGCTCTCCGCAAGCTATTTGCACGGTTTCCTCTCCGTCCAGCATGCTATCTCGCTTCCTCCCGGCGAAGCTCTCCGCAACCTATTTGCACGGTTTCCTCTCCGTCCAGCATGCTGTCTCGCTCCCTCCCAGCGAAGCTCTCCTTAACCTATTTCCACGGTTTCCTCTCCGTCCAGGATGCTGTCTCGCTCCCTCCCAGCAAAGCTTTCCGCAAACTATTTGCACGGTTTTCTCTCCGTCCAGCATGCTGTCTCGCTCCCTCCCAGCGAAGCTTTCCGCAAGCTGTCTCGCTCCCTCCCAGCTCAGCAAGCTATTTCCACGGTTTCCTATCCGTCCAGCATGTTATCTCGCTCCCTCCCAGCGAAACTCTCCGCAAGCTATTTTCACACTTTCCTCCGTGCAGCATGCTGTCTCCCTCCCTCCCAGTGAAGCTCTCCGCAACCTATTTGCACGGTTTCTTCTCCGTCCAACATGCTGTCTCGCTCCCTCCCAGCGGACTTTGCCCAATCTATTTCCACGGTTTTCTCTCCGTCCAGCATGCTGTCTCGCTCCCTCCCAGTGGAGCTCTCCGCAAGCTATTTTCACGGTTTCCTCTCCGTCCAGCATGCTGTCTCGCTCCCTCCCCGCGAAGCTCTCCGCAAGCTATTTGGACGGTTTCCTCTCCGTCCAGCATGCTATCTCGCTTCCTCCCAGCGAAGCTCTCCGAAACTATTTCCACGGTTTCCCATCCGTCCAGTTGTCTCGTTCCCTTCCAGCGAAGCTCCCCGCAAGCTATTTGCACGGTTTCCTCTCCGTCCAGCATGCTGTCTCATCCTCTCGCGCTTCCTCCCAGCAAAGCTCTCCGCAAGCTATTTCCACAGTTTTCGTCTCCGTGCAGCATGCTGTCTTGCTCCCTCCCAGCGAAGTTTCCTCAAGCTATTTACACGGCATCATCCCGTCCAGCATGCTGTCTCGCTCCCTTCAAGCGCAACTTTCCGCAAGCTATTTGCACGCTTTCTTCTCCGTCCAGCATGCTGTCTCGCTCCCTCCCACCGAAGTTTCCCCAAGCTATTTCCACGGTTTTGTCCCGTCCAGCATGCTGTCGCGCTTCCTCGCAGCATAGCTTTCCGTCCACCATGCTGTCTCGCTCCCATCCAGCGCAGTTTCCCCAAGCTATTTTCCACTTTGTCCCGTCCAGCATGCTGTCTCGCTCCCTCCCCGCGCAGTTTCCCGAAGCTATTTCCACGGTTTTGTCCCGTCCAGCATCCGGTCTCGCTCCCTCCCAGCGAAGTTTCCCCCAGCTATTTTCCACGGTTTTGTCCCGTCCAGCATGCTGTCTCGCTCCCTCCCAGCGAAGTTTCCCCAAGCGATTTCCACGGCTTCATCCCGTCCAGCATCCGGTCTCGCTCCTTCCCAGCGAAGTTTCCCCAAGCTATTTCCACGGCTTCATCCCGTCCAGCATCCGGTCTCGCTCCCTCCCAGCGAAGTTTCCCCAAGCTATTTCCACGGCTTCATCCCGTCGAGCATCCGGTCTCGCTCCCTCCCAGCGAAGTTTCCCCAAGCTATTTCCACGGCTTCATCCCGTCCAGCATCCGGTCTCGCTCCTTCCCAGCTAAGTTTCCCCAAGCTATTTCCACGGCTTTATCCCGTCCAGCATCCGGTCTCGTTCCCTCCCAGCGAAGTTTCCCCAAGCTATTTCCACGGCTTCATCCCGCCGAGCATCCGGTCTCGCTCCCTCCCAGCGCAGTTTCCCCAAGCTATTTCCACAGCTTCATCCCGTCCAGCATCCGGTCTCGCTCCTTCCCAGTGCAGTTTCCCCAAGCTATTTGCACGGCTTCATCCCGTCCAGCATCCGGTCTCGCTCCCTCCCAGCGAAGTTTCCCCAAGCTATTTCCCCAAGCTATTTCCACGGCTTCATCCCGTCGAGCATCCGGTCTCGCTCCCTCCCCGCGCAGTTTCCCCAAGCTATTTCCACGGCTTCATCCCGTCGAGCATCCGGTCTCGCTCCCTCCCAGCGAAGTTTCCCCAAGCTATTTCCCCAAGCTTGCTTTTTATTTCCATCACGATTCCAGCTTCATCCCGTCCAGCATCCGGTCTCGCTCCCTCCCAGCGAAGTTTCCCCAAGCTATTTCCACGGCTTCATCCCGTCCAGCATCCGGTCTCGCTCCCTCCCAGCGAAGTTTCCCCAAGCTATTTCCACTGCTTCATCCCGTCGAGCATCCGGTCTCGCTCCCTCCCAGCGAAGTTTCCCCAAGCTATTTCCCCAAGCTATTTCCACGGCTTCATCCCGTCGAGCATCCGGTCTCGCTCCCTCCCAGCGCAGTTTTCCCAAGCTATTTCCACGGCTTCATCCCGTCGAGCATCCGGTCTCGCTCCCTCCCAGCGAAGTTTCTCCAAGCTATTTCCACGGCTTCATCCCGTCGAGCATCCGGTCTCGCTCCCTCCCAGCGAAGTTTCCCCAAGCTATTTCC